GTGCTTGGGAGTGAACGGTTTCTTGAAAGGTTGTTGCCAAATAAGGAAATTTTCGATTGGAAATTGATTTGCGGGAGTATTCTACTTTATTTTACTTTTATTTTTCTCATTATTTATATAGTTCATTTTTCACTTTAACAATACATACAGATCATAAGCAGGTCCAAGTTATTTTCGACTGGTTTGAATATAAGCTAAAGTTGGCAGGTTATCAAACCAAGTTCTTTGACTGGAAACAGGCCACATCCGAACAAAAAAAAAACTTCAAAGAAGAGATTGAACTCAGAATCTCCATAGCGAAAAACCAGTCCTGAACTTCATTTAATAATGCCATTGTAAACACTGCTAGAAATAATATCCTATTAATCAAACCAACAATTAACAAGAGTCCACAGCACGGAGGTGGTTAGTACTTTAACACAATTAAATTGGTCAAAAAGACAATTTCAAGGAAGAAAAAGTCAAGCTCAACAAAAATTCCAAAATGTATCAGACAAATCCATGAAAAGATTCTTAGGTTAGAGCCAATTTTCATCAAGTCACTCAATCAAATCAGAAATACTCTAATTAGAGAAAAACTTAATAATATTAAAGAATGTCACATTGAACAAATTAGCAAAAGCATTACCACCAATTATATCAAATTCTGGAAAAGACCAAAAAGCTTCATCAAAAAAGTCTTGGGTAGTCTCAAGCCATTGCTAGACCTCAACTTTATTTAGAATAACCAAGGAGCCCTAACAGATGACCCAGAAGAGATTAAAAATATTATAATCATCCCCTTTGAGAATGTCCTGTCCAACAAAAGCATAAATCTTTCAAATCCATACTGGACCACAAAGTACAGCCCAATCAGTTCAATTAATGAGGAATGGTTCAACAATAGCCTAAGTCCAGTCAGTCTTGATGAACTTACAAACACACTCAAGAACCTATCCCTAGATAAAACCCCAGGCAGCACAGAAATTATCTATAAAATGATCAATATTCTCGGAGTAGCCTCAAAACGAGTGTTGTTCTAACTATATAACCAAATTTTAAGTGACAAAACTATTCCAACAGGCTGGAAAAACTCAACAATTGTGCTTTTACCAAAGAAAATAATATGGTCAAAAAAAGTGGTAAATACATACCCAATCTCTCTAATCAAGTCCACAAGAAAAGTCTTCACAAAAATAATCAATGCCAGGTTATCAGAAACCATAAGTAAGCATAATATACTTTCAAAAATGAGTTTTGTAAGGCTCGCCAACCAGAGTACAATGGAACCATTAGCAATTGCAGCATCAACCCTGAATATCACAAAAAATCTAAACAATAAACTATGGATGGCCTCTTTTGATATAGCAAAGGCATTTGACTCAGTCAACCTTAATAGTCTCAAAGCAGCTCTCAAAAGAATCAAAGTTCCAGCTAAACTTGTCAATATCTTTCACAATCTGCTATATAAATGCAAGCTCTCAGTTGCAACAAACTTTGGCAAAACCAGAGAAGTAGAAGTTATAAAAGAATTAGATTAAGGAGAAATCCTTTCACTACTCTTATGAACTATTTTTTATGATTCTATGATCTTAGCAATTTCTAGTTACTTCAAGCACCAAGCAATTACACATAATATTCTTATATACATGGATGACATTCTCCTAACAGCACAATCCTTAGAACACTTACAAGAGCTTACAGATATATTTTGCTCCTTTTTTTCTCTGAACAATATCAAATGAAATACAGATAAAACAATGCTCATCACTATATTAGCCAACAAACACCCTTGAAAAGATGCAGGCCTAAAGATAATGGACTCAGTGATTAATCCTTTTAGCAGCAAGACTCCCCTCTACTATCTAGACAACTTCTTTGCAAAAAACTCAAATAAAAACACCTTTACCCGACCTAATATCAAGAGCATGCATCAAATCATAGAAGCTTGTCACAAACAAAGATGGAACAGTCCAATAACAAAGCAGATGCTAGACTGAATTATCCCTAGAAACTTAATTACATTCTTCTTTCAAGCTTCCTTTCCAAAGGCCAGGTACAAAACCTTCAGGCCAAAGCAAACAACCTAATCAAAAGAAGGCTGAAAGTAGAAAAAACCATATTGGACAAAATAATATATTTACAAGCTGGCCTTAATCTTAAAAACTTCTCCAATAGACAAGACCTCATATTAGCAAAGCTCCTTGTAGCTAAACTAAGCAACATAAAAATGCAAGAGACTATAAAAACAAAAATTAACTTTCTTCAGATCAGTCACGCTATCTGGCTCTGCCCATTATATTATTTAGAAGTGTTCCCAGAAACATGGATCACACAAGCAGCAGCATCGTGTAAAAAGTATTAAATCAATATATATCCAGTCAACTGTCAATTCCATTATGTCAAAGGCCAGCAATCCCTAGGATTGCACTTCTTCTTCAGAAACAAATACTTGAGGCATCAAGCTCTAGGTTTGTATAAAGGCAACATAAGGTTCCTTGAGAACTTATTAGTATTCAGAACAAACAACAAATTGTCCTGACATGAGTTAAATACACACTTCCGTCCAACCCCAAAAGGACCTATTCCCAGTTGGTTTACCAACATCAATATTATACCCAGATATAAAGGTACTTTAACATGCATTCCCAACACAAGGGCTAGATTTTGGATCCATATCCACAATAATGAACTGAGCTTTATCAAGGCAAGAATTAACTGCAACAGTATACAATCTCTCTTCAAAGGCAAGCATTATAAACTGGAGGCCGACAAAACTCTTAAAAAGTGCTATTGTTATAGCAACACATATCAAATGAGTATATCAATTGAGGAAACAATGTCTCTTTGAACATATAAGACCAACAATGAATATTGTCTGGCCAACTTCACAGAGAAGATTTGGCTCCAGCTATAGCATAAAACAATCCCAACAACAAACTTAACAATAGAAATTAGCTTTTGAAAAAACAAGAGACCAGAGGTTTGCCTAAATCCTAACACAATAGAAGATATCAAACAGGTTGTCAACCTAGATTACCTATTCTTCCAGTTTGATCTGGTGGCAAAAGAAGAGCTTTTAGAGATATATGGACACAACACAAGTATGACATTTCACTCCAGCAATCCACAACTAATCAACACTCTCCTAGAAATTCTTGGCCTAGTGGGAGCAACAAATGATTAATCATATATCTTGATCAATATGTCCAGAAAATCAAGTTGAAAATGCCAGAATATTTGAACCAAAGAGTTAAAATATTATACAGTTTCCTGATTGAAAGTATCAATACTATCTGTAGTCAGAAAAACATCAAACTAAAGCTGGAAAAGAATCTAACTTCTCCAGAACAGCAGAATATTGAATCAATTATAGGAATTGACAATATAATAGAACCAATAGACTATATCACAGGCCAAGAATAAAAAACAAGTGGGGTTACAGCTCTGTAATGTGGATTAAAAAAGTGCAGCATATTTTCAGATTCACTAATATCATAAATAGCTCTTCAATTGAAAAAAGGTGGAACACCAATATAAAAATATCTAATTTTCAAACTCTAACAAAAGCAAACAAACTCTTTATCAAAAATGACAAGGTAAATTGTTTCTTATTACTAGTCTTCAAGACAAAAATGATTAGTGAAATACTTCCTATTAGACAACTCCTTTATAAAAGATATCCCAACACATATGAAGATAACCTGTGCTCCAAATGTCTTACTGAAGCAGAGACCCAGAAACATGTTTTGAATACTACAAAAGCATACCAGCCTATAGAGAAATCGAAGCCAAACTTAAGAAAAGTTTAATGAAACTTTTAAACAAAAGTAGTCCAAAAAACAAATCAGTTAACATGAACAATCAAATACAAAGACTAAGTCTCAGAAGAAGGTTGGGACTGGACAAAGTCACGAATGGAATAACAGAAATAGATTTTTACCTTTCAGCAAAAAGCCAAGTCAAATTGCAAATAAAGCCTTAGCACTACTTTACACACTAATTTGGGTACCAATGTTGGCAATAGTCAACATCTCAATAGCTTCAGAAATTAAATAAAATGGCCATCTCTATGTAACCATAAATATTAACAGAATCACTACACAACAGAACTCATCAGAGGAGTCATCTTTGATAGAACTAATTATAAAAAAAATGAATCCACAAATGGACCCAAGTAGCTTGTATCACCTCTGGAAGGGCATTAACTATCCAGCACTAAAACTAATCTAAAGCACATCAAATGTGCCAAGGATAGTGATAGTTAGCATTATAGATAGATTAATATTAATTTATATAATACTGTATATAAAGATGTTTGATATAACTTGAGTATAATCTTATATTTCAATAAAGTTTTGCATTTGATGCCCTTTTATGATTAAAAAAAAAAATTAATTATTTTTTTTTTTATAATTGAAATATTATGTTCTTATAGCCAAAATTTAATTTAGATTATGTCCTCAATTATGTTTTTATCAAATAATTTAGGAACTCATCTTTATACTCAAGAATATTTTAAAAACTTATAGAATTTTTTAAAACAATATAGAATTTTCTAGAACTTTAAAGAATTTTTTAAAACTGTATAAAATTTTCTATAAACTTTTTAAAACTTTGAAGAATTTTCTAGAACTTTAAAAAAATTTATTTAAAATTATATATAAAAAATAAGTCACTAAAATAATATATTGTTGTAGGAAAAAATAATAAATAAATGATAGGAAATTATAAGGACTAGTATATTAGATATAAATAGTATATTAGATATAAGTGATATGTTAGATATAATAGGTATTGTTGTAGGGAAAAATGATGGGTAAATGATAGGAAATTATAAGGGTAAGTATATTAGGTATAAACGGTATATCAGGTATAAGTAGTATATCAGG